GGCTTGTTCACCTCCTGCGCCCCCTCCTCTCCCTCCCCACCCCGCCGCCGCTCGCCCTTTCGTTAAGGACGCACCATGTTCCCGCGGCGCGATGACTTTTCTACAAATGAGACGGTCGTGCGGCGCCATTGTAGCGGCGCAGCCGAGGAGAAGGAGGCCGATAGGAAGACACAATGGGAGCCCCCGCCAAACGGGAGGTAGGCCGGCCGCCGCGGCGCGCTGCACGACCTCTGCCTACCTCGCGGGCGGACGGTAGGACCACAACGGGAGCGCCCGCCAGACGGGAGGTAGGCCGGCCGCCACGGCGCGCTGCACGACCTCTGCCTACCTCCTAGGCGGCCCCTGCTCTCACGCGGACTCAACTCACCCACGATGGCGAACGGCACCTCGGTGTCCATGTACTCGTAGCACACCTTGGCGACGACGGACGCGATGCCGATGCAGAGCGCGTTGCGGCCGATACTGAGGAACCAGAGGATGCGGCCCAAGACGCGGCGACCCGCCGTCGTCGGCCCGCCGTCCTTGGCCTCCACCTTGATCGCGCCCAGGCGCTGGAGACAAAGGCAGCAGCTGACAATGACTGTGCGAGCAATATCCCCACCTCTGCTCATCCACAGAGTCGCGCGCTTTGTACACCGTCGCGCCGAGCACCTGTAATTGTGTGCGGGGGAGTGGCGGGAAAAGGGAAAGGGGGCGTTTAGTCACTGTTTCACAGTCGTATTCGTGGAAAATAGGAAAAGAACCTCAACAACATAAAGAAACTGAAACGTTAGAAAAATAAGAAATAATTCGTCGGCATCATTTAAAGATAGTCATAATCTTTAAAATGAAAAGAAAGGAGTCAGATTTCCTAAATTTACACTGTCCAGAAAAAAAGTGAGAAATAACCTTGAGAGCGAGCAGGAAGGTGATGCAGCAGATGCCGAGGATGGCGTCGCCGGGGTTGGTCTCGGGGACGTGCGTCCAGAGGGCGTGCAGGCGATTGAGGAAGCCGCGCACGCGGAACCGCAGCCCGCCCAGGTGCTTGAGCTGGGCCACGATCACGATGAAGGAGGTGGCCGACGTGAACCCAGACACGACCGGCGTCGAGATAAAGTCCACGAGGAAGCCTGCAGCAAACGGCTATTATTGGCGCTTCCCGTAAATTTGAAACAAAAAAACATTGAAAAAAATAATAAAAATAAAATAAAAATACATCCGCGAGTGCTGTGCGGGCAGGCAGCTCCGGCAGCATGTGTCACCATGCGCCCCTCGCTTTTGTCCGCACCAAAGTGGGTCATTTGGCCGAGCAGTCCGGCCAGCGCGGCCTAAGTGCGCGGACTAATGGACGCCATCAGCCACCTCAGCTCGCTCGCCGCGCCCCGCGCCAGCACAGAAATCCTTGCTCTCCTTCGGCGCGTCAGCCAGGTCCAGGTCCAGGTCCAGGTCCGGGGGACACCGGCCGCCACCGTCCCGACGTCTGTGCGTGCGTTATTCACGTGGGCGCGCTCGGCTTAGGACGGCGAGGTGTGTGGATTTAAGGGGGATGCAGAGCAGAGCTGACCCCGCCGCGCCAAAGACAACACGCAGCAAGGCGCGCTGTTGACTCAGGTGGCGCGCGCTGCGGGGCGACGGAACGGGTATGCGCGGCGCGTCGCGAGCCAGAGCAGCACGGAGGGGAGCGGGTTATGGACCCGAAGAGTCCAGCGGAAGGTAAGTATTCAATATCAACTACGCCTTGCGACGCCTTGTCCCTAGAAGAGGACGGTCGTAAATCGAATACTGTTGCCCTACGACTGTAAAAATCAAAATTAAAGTTCATTATGAAACATTTTTTCGGCATATGTTACAACTTTGCGTATTCGAAAGGTACGGAAGGTAACATCCGAAGACGTACACTACGCCCGGCGACGATCACAGAAAATTACCAGTGCGGTTCCGACCGGTTCTGACACCAAAGATATTCGTGGCAAATTAGAATAGCCAGCAGCAGACGGCCTCCTGACGAGCGCAACAAGACGCTTGTTCGCAGTGACCTACTTACCGGAAGCCGCGAAAGGCGGCCGGCGGTCGTGTTATTTGCAGAGACGGACTCTTTCCGTCGCCGTCGTAAATTGAAAACGCTTTCTCGACCTACGCCGCGGCGTATTCACTACAAAAGGAGGACGGCAAGAAATGGAGAGGGGGGGGGGGCAGTGAAAAGAGAGGGAAAATTGGGTAAAGGGGGGGGGGGAGAAAACCACACTGCAGGGCAACTTACACAGTCCGTCAGAGTTATTACGACTTTCATCCAACTTAAATGTGTAACTTTACAAATTATGTACGACTATACGTTTGTAGATTTACGACCGCGTTCCAAAATTTACAACTTTACACATCAAAACGAACAAAGTTATGAATAACAGGGTTGGGATGGCGAGAGAGAAACAAGGATGGAAAGTACTCGCAATACGCACCTAGGCGCAGCACGCCCATGAGGAACTGCACCACGCCAGTGAGGAAGGTGAGCAGGATGACGAAGTGGATGTTGAGGTCCCGGGTGAACTGGAAGGTGACAATGGCCATGAGCGAGGTGGGGCCGATCGTCACCTCCTTGATGGTGCCCAGGAACATGTAGACGAATCCACCCATGAACGCCGAGTACAGTCCAAACTAAGCGATGCAGGAGAGACGGCGATTAGCTCGGGGGGTGCGCTCTGCGCGGGGACACACTTGCGCGGCGAGGGGGGTATGGGGTGGTATACCCGGGGGCTGACGCCCGCCAGCTGGGCGTACGCGATGCTCTGGGGCAGCAGGGTCAGCCCCAGGGTGATCCCGGCCACCAGGTCGGCCACCACGAACTCGGCGGAGTACGATGGCAGCCACGTCACCAGAGGAACTCGGCGGCGGACGAACCTCCGGAGCCGCTGGCCCGGAGTGAGCGTCCGGGCCGAGGCAAGACCTGCAGATAAAAATAAAAACGAACAAAACAAAACATGAGAATGACATCGAGTATACGAGAGGGGTTTTAGAGAGTGCGATAGAACAGAGGGAGATTATTCTTTTTCCATTCGGAAACACAAAACAGATATATCGTTTTCGGCCAACGCGATAAACGGGTGGAAAAATGCGCCGCAAGCAGGGAGGACGTTGCCGCAGGCCGCAGAAAATTGAAAAGGTGACGTGTGTGCGCCGGACCGAGAGCGTAAAACAAACGAGAGAGAGAGAGAGAGAG